ACAACAGTAAACTAAAATGTGAGAGGAGAGAGAAGTATACAGTCTTTGTATGCTATCAAGTTAAGTTGTTATCAGGTTAAAATAGGTTGTTATAACTATAACGTATTTTATGTTAGGCTTATGGTAACCACAAAGGAAGAACCTGTAGTTGATACACAAAAGATTACACTAAAGGAATCAAAACATACCACCATAAAAAGTCATTAAATCACAAAGGAAGATAGCAAGAGAGAAAAAATGAACAAAAGCACCACAACAGCCAGAAATCAATTGACAAAATGGCAATAGTAAGACCTTACTTATGAATAATTACTTTAAAAGTAAATGGAAGAGATATGGGAACATATGTATATGTATAACTGATTTACTTCGTTATAAAGCAGAAACTAACACACCATTGTAAAGCAGTTATACCCCAATAAAGATGTTAAAAAAAATGTGTTATGAAACATCAGGGGATGACATCAGAAAAATAAATTAGGGCTGGACTTATGTGAGTCTTGAATGCCAAATTAAGAATATGAGACAATAAAAACACAAACCATTATAATCATAAAAAAGTAAATGGATTAAATTATTCAATCAAAAGATGTATAATGGATGATTGGATCATATGTATGTATGTGTGTGTGTGTGTATATATATATATATATATATATATCCCAACGACTCCACCAAAAAACTGTTAGAACTAATAAAGTGGCATCATATAAAATCAACCTGCAAAAAAATAAATTGTTTCTATACACTAAAAATGAACTACCTAAAAAGAAATAAAGAAAACAATCCCATTATGATAGCATCAAAACAATGACATAATTAGGTTTAAATTTAATCAAGGAGGTGAAATACCTGCACAGTGTTAACTATAACACACTGATGAAAGAAATCGATGAAGACACAAACAAATGGAAAGGTATTCATGTTTATGGATTGGAAGAATTAATATTGCTAAAATGTCCATACTACCTAAAGCCGTTTATAGATTCAGTGTAATCCCTATTAAAATTCCAGTGGCATTTTTTACAGAAATAGAAAGAACAATCCTAATTACAAAATGGAATTACAGAAGACCTGGATAGTTGAAGGAATCCTGAGAAAGAAGAACAAATTTGGAGGCATCACACTTCCTGGTTTCAAACTATATCACAAAGCTATAGTAATCAAAGCAGTATGGTACTGGCATAAAAACGGACACATAGACCAATAGAACACAATGGAGAGCCCAGAAATTAAGCCATGCTTATTTGGTCAACTATCAATAATTTTGATAATGAAGCCAAGGATGTTTAATGGGGAAAGTATGGTATGTTCAATAAATGGTGTTGGCCAAATTGGATATTCACTTGCACAATAATGAAATAGGACCACCATCTAACACCATTCACAAAAATTAACTTGAAATGCATTAAAGACATAAGACCTAAAACTATAATACTCCTAGAAGACAGGATAGGAAAAATATCCTTGATATTGGTCTTGGCATTGACTTTTTAGATATAACACCAAAAGCACAAACAAGAAAAGCAAAAACAAACCAAAAGCAAAACAACCCCACCCCCCCAAAAAAAAACCCCACATGAAACTACATCAAGCTAAAAACCTTTGGTGTAGCAAAAGAAAAGATCAACAAAATAAAAAAGGAAACTTATGGAATGGGAGAATATATTTATAAACATATATCTGATAAGTGGTTATATATACAGAACTGATATATATACGGAACTGATATAATTCAATAACAAAAACACAACCCAAATAAAAATGGGTAAAGGACCTGAATACATAGTTTTCAAAGAAGCTATTCAAATGACCCACAGTTACATGAAAAGGTACTCAACATCACTAATCATCAGGCAAATGCAAATCAAAACCACAATGAGATATCACCTCGTACTTGTTAGATTGGCTATTATCAAAAAGACAGAGATAACTAGTGCTGGAGAAGATGCAGAGAAAAGGAAGCCCTGATGCACTGTTGGTGGGAATGTAAATTTGTGCAGCCATTATGGAAAATAGTATGGAGGTTCCTCAAAAAATTAAAAATACAAATAGCATATGATTCAGCATTCCTACTATTGAGCATATATGAAGGAAACAACATCACTATCTCAAAGAGACACCTGTACTCCCTTCATTGCAGCATTATTCACAATAGTTATGGAAACAATGTAAGTGCACTCAACAGATGAATGGATAAAGAAAATGTAAAATATACACACACACACACACACACACACACACACATATATATATACACACACACACAGTAGAATATTATTCAGCCATAAAAATTAAGAAAATACTGCCAATGAGGCAACATAGATGAACTTTGAGGAAATGTGTTAAGTGAATTAAGTCAGGCAAAGAAAGACAAATACTGTATGATCTCACTTATATGTGGAATCTAAAAACATTGAACTCATAGAAACAGAGAATAGATTGGTGATTTTGCTAGGGGCTGGGAGGTGAGAGAAGAGGAGGACTTACTTTATTGTATACTTAAAATTTTCTAAGAGGGTAAATCTTAGATGTTTTCACCACACACAAAAAGAAAATGGTGACTATGTGAAGTGACAGGTATGTTAATTAGCTTGATTTTGGTGATTATTTCACAATGTGTGTGTATATCAAAACATCAACTTGGACACCTCAAATATATTCAATATTTGTCAGTTATACTTCAATAAATTTGTGGGGGGGGGGACACCAAACCAAGACAAACAAAACCAAACAAAAAACTACAAAATTTTTCCATAGATTGTCAATTCAGTCACCCCAGTGGAAACCAAATAGCCAACAATACAATAACTGGGTGATGTTGGCCGCAGCACACTGTAGGAACACTGGAGGTACAAGTGCCACAGGAGGTGGGTGCTGGGGAACCTGCCCACGCTGCAGGAGATGGGCACTAGGGCATCTGGATGCACTGTGGGTGCTGGGCTCCGGGGAAGGTGCCCACACAATGGGAGTTGGGCAGTGGGGAAGCTGCGGGTGCAGAAGCTACCAGAGCTGCAGAAACCTAGCAAGAGTGCACACAGGAACCACGTGACAAAATTCCTTTCTCCACAATGTCTCCACAGCGCCCTCTGCTGTTCAGAGAGGGGGAAAACTATTTAAAGCACTCAGACCCATTTCACAGAGCAGGCAATAATGGTCAATTTTGAAAAAGCATATTTTGTAATATGTATATAATATTGTACGTACATATTGTAATATGTATATATAGCATGTATATAATAGGTCAGATGGTAATAAGTGGTATGGATAAAAATTTTAAAAAGATAAGAGAACAATAAATGACTGAGTGGGATCTACTTTAGATTGTCTGAAGAGATGATATTTGAGCTGAAGTAATGATGACACAAAGAAGTGAGCACATGATCATGCAGAGGAAGAGTGTCCCAAGGCAGAAAAACCAGCAGGTGCAAAAGCAGGAAGGAGCCTAAACCTATTGAAGAACATGAAAGACACCTTTAGAATTGGCAACATGTTGTATCCTCAGAACTGGACAAAAAAGAAGCGACCAGATCAGATCTAGGAGATCTCAATAATTTCTACCAGCTACATGATGTGGACTTGTCCCTGTCCTAGTGCAGAGAATAAGGTACTTATCCTTTCTGAAACTGTCATTTCCAGATACCTCATAGATTTTGTCTGTTGCTGCTCTTTAAAAGGTTAAACATGGATTTATGTGATTCAGCAATGCCACTCACAGGTATATATCCAAGAGACATTAAAACACATTCACACAAAAACTTATATATGACTGTTCATAGCCACATTATCCATAATAGCAAAAAAGTGGAAGCAACCCAAATATCCATCAACTGATGAATGATGTATTGGCATACCAGTACAATCGAATATCATTTGGCCATAAAAAATGACTAAAATACTACAACAACATGAAGGACTTGCTACAACATGGATGAACCTTGAAAACATTCTGCTAAGTGAAAGAAGCCAGACACAGAAGACTGGGGCTGGGGGATTGGGCGTGACTGCTGGTGGATATAAGGTTTCTTTTGGAGGATGATTAAAACAATTGTGATGAAAATTGATTGCGGTGATGGTTGTACAACTCTGTGAATACACCAAAAGCCATTAAAATGTACATTTTAGATGGGAGAGTTGTCTGGTATGTGAGTTTTATCTCAATAAAGCTGTAACAGGGACTTCCCTGATGCTCAGTGTTTAAGACTCCACGCTTCTAACGCAGGGGTAGAGGTCTGATCCCTGGTCAGGGAACTAAGATCCCACATGCCACAGAGCCAAAAAAGAAAAAAAAAGAATAAATAAAAAGCTGTTACAGTAAAATTATTTTGCTGACTTGGATTCAGGGTCCAAGAATCCTTTGGAGTCTTTAGTACAGATTGAAAGAGCACATCTGTTGATATGTACCTTTTCAGTGAACCAAGTAGTGTGTAATTGGACTTCAAAGTAGGCTCAGCCTATATCGCTATTGACATACACACCTGAAAATGTCTGAAAAGTTCCCCTACAAGTCCCAGGTCAGTTGTTATATAGATTTTTGCCTCATTCTGCCACTAGCTCTATTTTTCTTAAGAGACACAGTAAAATCATAGGAAAAACACTGAATTTAGACTCAGAAGGTCTTAATTTGAAACATAGTTCTACCACTTACTTAAAGATATACTGAACTGTTGTTTGATTAAACATGCATACACACACACGCACACACATATCCCGAACAAAGTCCAAAACGATGTCATCCTTTCATTTGGCAGAGTGTTCTCTAAATTGTGCTTCTCCTGGAAGCCTGCTCTGTTCACAAAACCCCTACTTTGACAATGCAGAACCAATCAATCAGTAATCCAGATTGATTTATTTGATCAATATGATTGGTAACTCTTATTTCCTTCATTTTGCAGAGGAGGAAATAGAAGCGTGGTAAGATTCGATGACTTCCATTGTGTGGCAGCCGTGGAGGGCTGCCGCTCAGATTTATCAAGAGAGAAATTCCCATAAGGAGTACAGTCATTTGACAACTTCCAGTGTTCAGCCCAGGACAGGCTTTCCTTAAGCAGCACTAGACAATGGCTGAGCACAATGGGGTACTAGGGTCTGGCTATTTCTACCCAGCATTCTGGAGTCCCGTCTTGGGCTAGACGAGCCATTCTGAAACCTACACTACAGTCTGAGGCTCTTCCTAACCAATCCTCCTTTCTTCCTCCCTCCTTTCACATGTGTCATACCTGCGTTGCTCTCTGAAAGCTTTCCCTGCCTACTCCTGCCTCCTCTTCCACCTTATCTATCACAGTGGTTAATCCCAATAATTCTTTTGCACTTCTAGCTCTGTCTTTGTTATCCTTTCTGGAGGGCCTAAACTGACACTCTTTGGTGGAGCCAAGACTTACACACAAGACTTGTGACTCCAAGGTCATTCCATAGAGCTGCCTATAGCTATTATGCCTAGCTCACTGGGACTAACTAGAAGAAACTAACTAGATTAACTAAGTATTGCCTGGGTTTACCATGCCCCAGTCCCTGTATAGTCCTGTATGGATAAAGCCACTTTTATAGAAAGAACAGGCTCTTGTGGCTGAATCCAATATATTCAAGAGCATTCATTCATTCAGCAAGAGGAGGGAAATGAACGAATAGTTAATAGCTATTGCTTCCCATGAAATGTTTCCTGTGAGCTTTCAGTAGGTATATGCAAAGGTCTGTCCCACCACCCATACCCCTGTAGGTACTACCTGAAACTAACTCTTTTCTTCCTTAATGCCCAACTGTGATCAGCTACACTGAGAGAATGGAGGTTTGGAATGGAATTTGAGGTGGCAGCAGAGAAGAGGTTATTTTTGGAGTGCACAGGGCACATCAGGAGAAGCCAACCCACTAGCATGAGGGTATTGGATCTAAGATGTGGGGAAATATGCAAAACAGAAAGGCAAGATATACTTGTGTTGGCTGTTTTGCATCTTTGCCTAGATCCTTTGTGCCCTCCCCTCACCTGTATCCTCAATTCAAATGCAAACAAATAGCCTTTATTGAGCACGTACTGTATGCCAAGCTCCATACTAGGAATCTTGGGACTTCCCAAACCTAAGGTCAAGGGGAGAGACAAATGTGAAGATGACCTCTAAATGCAAGGGGGGATGTGACCAGGACTCTAATGGTAATGCTAAGAGTGAGAGCGAAAGAAGAGATTGGTTCTGAAAGGGACTCTCTACGGAGGTTTATAGAAGGTGGGGATTAAAGGGCTGGATACACAAAGAGGAATAAAAGTTGAGCAGAACCGGCATTCCAGGCAGCAATGCCAGCAGGAAGAATGGCACTGCCATGAGTAATGATATGGCATTTATGGGAACAAACAAGAAATGTTAGCTGTTGCAGAGTCAAGTCCAGGGTAGGAGAAGCAGGGCTCAGTGCTGGTAGAGGTAGAAGGGGCCAAGTCCTACAGGGTCTTGTGTGCCAAGTTAAAGAGCACCTATTTTATCCTACAGACAACCATGAGTTGTTTGTGTGCAGGGAGGGGTGTTTATATGATTTTTTACATTAATAAGTCTAACTCTGAAATCTGCAATGTCCGGAAAATATCTGCAGAAATGCACACCGCTGGCCATAATGCATTTACATACTAAAAAGAACACTAGACATTGGTGAAGCAGCTAAGCCTCTTTAGATTTCAGTTTTCTCATCTGTAAAATGAATATGACCTCTGAGGTTCCTCCTACTCTACACTTCTATGATTCTGTTCTTAATAGCTTGTCTTGACATAACTTAGATAATGATAGCTCGGCTTGAAAATCTACTTGAATTTGGTCTCTACCATTAATGTGAAGTAGTTAAGCAATTAGCAATTTAATTTGACAGTATAGTTGAGTTTCCAGTGTAGATTTATTTAAATTGGGTTAACTATCTGGATAAGACACTTCTACTGTCGGAAAGGCACGCTGCTCGGCTTACGTTCTTTAAAAACATAAGCTTTGGTTCCACGTTTGAAACCTGATGCCTATTTTGCATTGGTCCCCATGCCTCAAGAAGCAGTGGCCTGTCAGGCTTGCTGATATTTAAACATGTGGGAAATGCCCCCAGCTCACCCCAGTCATTAAATCTGATGGCTTGTTGGGTCCAGAGAGGCAGCCCAGGCAGGCAGCTGCATAATCAAGTGCTGCAGTGGGTTTTGGGGTCTTTTTTTAAAGCTTACTTTCAACCCAGCCCTTTCCAGTTAACCATTTCCTTGGTGATGACGAGGAGTTGGTTTATTCAGCAGATCATAAATGCAAAATGATGAACCTGGGGCTGTAGAGATAAGGATCGGTGAATCATACAAAGAGTCTGGACTTTGGAAGGCCCTTAGAAGTCATCTTGCCTAAACCTTTCACTTTACAAATAAGGAAGCCATTAGGTCAGTTTGCTATTTTTGCATTCACAGATATTTGCAACCTGTTCTTTTTGAGCCCCATTCCTCCTAAACATTGGCCAGAATCATGGAATTTTCTCTCTGTAAAAATGTGACTTCCTACCAGTTGAATACTCTTGATGATAACGACGTGGTTTAGCTACAGAAGGGAATCGTGCATGAGTATTCCGGCAAGTTATTCATTTATCTATTCCCAAAGGGGCCTCATTTCTCTTTAATACTGATCTTCTTCAACATTTATGTAAATTTGTCCAACGTTCCTTCAGCAGCTTTTATTGAGCTGGTTTTGTTCTCCTCTCAGAGATGAGTAAGAAATGTTCTCTGCTTTGAAAAGATCATTCTTTCTTGGGGGTGGACACTCTGAAAAGCAACTGCAATTGAATGTGACAAGTGCTATTGAAGGGAAATAGACATAGAGACAAAAATGAGGGAGCAATTAGTTCCAGCTAAGGTAGGAGAGACTGAGACAGAGTGACGCTTGAGCTGGCCCTGGGAGGGGGAGAGGAGGTGTGGCAGGTAGTTGAGGAGCAAGATGCAGGGGAGGACATTCTAGACAGGGTGATGACTCAAAGACACTGAAACATACAAGGCTATGGCATAATCAGGAAATGCAAGTGTACAGCTGGAGTTGAGGGTGTCTGGGTACAAAGGGGCCTGGGTGATGGCCTGCAATTTCAAGTTGGAGAGGGATTGTGCAGAATTTTGTAAGGCAGCTTAAGGCGTAGGGGGTATGCCCTGTAGCTCTTGTGCAATAGATGGTGGCCCACAACAATTTGTGAGTGTGACACGGTTTAGAAAAACACCCTTGAAACTTCCGTGTGCAGGATGGACCGAATGCCAGGAGCTCAGTGAGAAGATGGCCCTAAATGCATAGCTATCCCTGACCACACGAGTATGGCTTCATTTCTCTGTGTGTGTTGGGCTTTACTCGGCATTAATCCTTATCTAGATGACAGTGTGCAGTTGTATTAGACTGTTCAGGCTGCCATAAAAAAAAAATACCACAGACTGGGTGGCGTAAACAGCAGAAGTTTATTTTCTCACGGTTCTGGAGGCTAGAAGTCCCTGACCAAGGTTCTAGAAGATTCTCTTTCTGGTGAGAGCTCTCCTGCTGGCTTACAGATGACCACTTTCCTGCTGCGCCCTCACATGGCCCCTTCTCCGTGCACATGCAGAGAGATCTCTCCTGTCCCTTCCTCTTCTTCTGAAGACACCAGTTCTGTTGGATCAGAACCCCACTCTTACATCCTCATTTAACCTTAATTACCTTCATAAAGGCCCTGTGTCCAAATACAGCTACAATGGGGTTTGGAGCTTCAACACAGGAAGTTGGGAGGGGGACATAATTCAGTCCCTAATGGCAGCTGACCTTTCTTCTTGTCCCTCATAGCAAGCAACCCAGGCAAAATTATGGAAAGAACTTCAATGAACAGAAGCAACACCTATCATTTCTGCAGATAACAAATGAAAGCCAAATGTGCCATGTGAATTTCCCAGTTCGGTCCAGCATCTCCAACATGTATTTTCTGACTTTTCTTCTGGAGGAGGGGCCAGAGACAACTCCTTTTCTAGCACTAGCATCACTTTCCATGCTAATATTTGATCCTGCACTTGGGAAATTTATCACTCAGCCCCAGCTAACCATGACCTGGTCTTCTGAACAGGTTGCCCTGCCCCAATTCCAGCATTGCCGTCCATGGTTTTCTCTCTCACCTCTCCCGAAAATAATCCCTGATTTCTCCATTTCCCCAGCCCATAATCCTTTTTCCTCTCTCATCTCCAGACCCTCCTTGAAGTGGCAAGCCATCTCCTTTTATGCAAATTGTAGGCACAAAGCTTGGTCCTTTAGTCTCAGCTCCCTTTTCTGCAACCTGAAAGGGCATATGAACTATGAATGCCACACTGTTTCCTAAAGTTCGCATCTGAACGACTAATTGATTAAATGCCTGCTGAATGGGTGCTACGAAACAAGGTCGATGTCAACAATGACCAGCGCTAGGAAGAGGAGTTGTTTATAAACTTAACAGGCAAGGTGCCACATAAAATAAAATTCCTATAAACATTTCAGCAGGATTTTAGAATCCTGTTTTCACTTTTCCAGATACTGGCTTCCATATTTTATTTAATACAAAATTATTCATTGGTCATTATTTCTATAATAGATAGGAAGGTAATATATAGTGGAAGAATAGTGTTACTTTCTCTTGGAAAATCGGATAAAATACATAGTTGTGAGAATATATTGAGTAATAATGATACCATCATTATATGCTGTATCCAGAGCCCCTGTAACAGTGGCAGTGCTTGGATATTTGTACAATAAATTAATTAATACAAAATTGGGATAATATTTAACACAGATTAATTCCACAAAAATGTATTGTGTATCAACTAAATGTTAAGCAATTTGCTAGGGCCTGAGGGATCCAGCAGGGGGTCATACCTGCTCCTATGTCCACTATCAAAGAATGCCCCTTGTCTATGCCAGGTGATCATGCTCTTTGAAACCACAGTTTTGGGACAGATCCACAGGGAAGACCATCTAGATGAGCCTAATCCAGAGACAAACTTTGTCTGTAAAGGACCAGGAAGTAAATATTCTAGGCTTTGCAGGCCATA